CAGTCAGCAGGAGTGATTTAAACTACCTCTGTCATCAGTGCAGAAGAACAATTAATTGCATCCCAAGCTGGGTGTGAGGAATTTGCTTGCACTGAGAGCAAAGGATGTTTAGGTGACTGAAGTTAGATATGACACAAGGTTTTTTTGGGTCTGTAAACAAATCTATATGAGGATCTGTGTCTATGAGGACAGATTCTCTTTTCACCCCAGGATAAATTAGGAGTGATTACCCTTAAAATGATGAGCTACATGTGTAAAACCAGTTCAAGTCAAAGGAGAATCCAATTCATCTGTTGTATTTATAATTAATTACTCTGATTAAGGGCTGGCAGCTAAGATCAAACTTCATTGCTCTTGCTTCATCAGACAACAGGGGTGCTTGCCTTTGCTATCATGGCTATTAAAAAAAAGCATCTAAAAGTCCCCAGTAGCTTCTGCAGCAGTTTAACCTTTGAAGGGTATGTCCTGCAGTTGCTCAAGATTGTATAAGCATCACAGAAAAGCTGTGTTGTCTTTCACAACATAACTACCCATGAAATAAGGATTTGGTTTGAAGGTGGTGTATGAAAGAGCATGAAGATGGGTGGTGACACAGAAAAATTGACTAAGCCAGCTAGCATGGAACGGACATTAATTCGAGCTGCTCCTTGATTGCAAAACAAGCACAGAGCTGCTGGTTCACCATTTCTTAACCATCTCTATCCTGCAGCTGCTATTTAATTTCTAAGAAACAGCCTTTTCTTAGAGGATGTTTTAAAAAAAACTCTTCATGCTTTTTATAACAATCTCTGAGAAACAAACCACCTACCACGTTTTGAGAGGGAACAGTTGCATTTGCTAGCTGCTGTTGTGGCTAAGCAGGCTCCCCATGCCTTCCTCCAGCTACCTGCAGAATATTAACGCCTGCTGAATTTCACTAGAATTGCAGTTTCTCTTCCTGTTCAAGACACCATGACATATGGTTCAAGCAGACCAGGGGTCTCAAAGACTCATGTCAGCGCTGGGCATTCCCAAATTTAGGGTGTTTGGCACACAGTCAGTAACTATTTATCTCACTGTCTATCTAGGCCAGCCTCCTCCAATATGATATAATCTGTCTAATCAAGGCTGGCTTCCATTCTTGGCTGTGCTGCAAACTTCCTGTGTGACCTTAGGCCAGGCAGTGCTCCTCCTACCTCCCAGGGTCTCGTGAGCATCCCCATCATTACTGCTTGCCAGGTTCGGTCACGTGCCCCATGGAAAATGCCTGTGAATAATAGCTCCAAATTAAACACTGGGGAAGTTAAGGTTAGAGCCTTGTGACTCTCTCTGGCCCCCGCAAGCACTGGAAACTGGGCTTAGCTGTGTGTGAGCCCTCACTTACTTCAAATTATAGCTCTAGGAAGAGACAAAGCTGCCAGCTAGGTCAGAGCCTGGTTTGGGGAGCCAGCCCTCCATGGGCTTTGAAGCCAGGCTTGCGCAAGTTTATGTACCGGGAGGACTCATATTATGCCTATGAACATATAAATAATTGTATTGTTTGTATTTCTCTCCATCCTAAGCTAAAGTCTCTGTAATATCCTTGTTACATCCTTGAAGCATATTTCAGTGGGGAAGAAATCAGCATTTCTTAGGACCTGGGACTGAGGGGCAAGAGATTGGTTGATTATGTCTGGAGCAGTATGAGTCCCAAAACTGCTTTGTGCTGAGTTGTGTGCCTCAGGAGAAGAGGTGCAGGCTTTCTGGTGCTGCTCCTCAGGCGGGCCATAGCATTTCTGGAGCTCACCAGCGTGGGTACCTGGGAGGACTGTGCTGGTGGAGCACAGCTCAATGGCCAGGGAGCAGATTAGCTATTTCACAACAGAAACAGACTGAAAAGGTGGAGGTCTTCTCATAATTACTGCAGCTGGGTTTTGTTTGCCTTTATTGTGCCTTGCAGACTTGTTTGGAGGGCCAGCAGCAAAGTGACTTAGGGAAAAATAGAGAAAAAGAAAAGACTGGGAAGCAGAGAGGGTTGAAAGGAGGAAAAAGCAAGCAAGCATGAGTAATACAGGCATTAGAAGTGCTTTATAATTAGTTTATAAAAGCTGTCTTAGCATCAGCAAAGCACTTTCTACTAAAAATCCTTAATAAAAATGCAGCAATATTTGTAAGCAATTGTATGTTTTCTGTTTAATTCTGTTAAACAGCTCCATGAGGAGTGTCTGAGCAATGCATTTCCCTCCTTTCTCAACCTCCCCCACCCCTACCCCGCCACACACGCACATTGTCTGGGCAGTTAAAAGCACTTCAGCTTTGCCTCCCTGCCTTAAAACTCCCTGGTGGAATCCTCTATTTGAGGTGGTTTCAAACCAACTGGCTGGCTTTCCCACTCAAACAGCAGCTGAAAATATCTTGCCACTGGAGGAGCAGCCAAGTGCGGCCACCTTCCCTGCAAGAAGAGTTGGTTAATCCATTGACTATCCTTGTGGGCTATGGATTCTGCACCCTGCCCTCACATATTTATGGTTGGCTTATTGGAGCAATGCCTAGATGGGGAGAAGTGACTATGAAATGCGCTTGGAGATGGCGGCTTGCCCAGTGGAGGTAATGCCAGAGAGGTCAGCCTACAAGGATGTTGGTGCTCCTTGACTGAAACAATGAATTTGGTTATATGAGTGAAATGCAAATTGCTGGGCACTGGTCAAGACAGTTTGGATGGCATCACTGCATAAATGTGTCCCACCCAGCTGTGCCCTAGTCTGTAATTATCTGGAAATGAAATAGAGTAGAAAGTATCCCCAGGGTTGGGTTTTCTTCCTTCCAATTTTTCTTCTTGTTTTTCACACGGGAAGAAGAAAGTCTGGAAACCATGCTTAAGCTTAACAGAACCAGAGGTCTGGCCAAACTAGATTTTAACATGGCTAGTGACCCAGTGTAAGGAGAATGGGGTTTATCAGCTTGTTTGTGGGCCAAAGCATGGACATGACTAAAACACATGATGCCAAAAGAGTCTGTGGTGGGGACTAGCCAGTGTTCTTGCTGAGATTTGAAAGTTTCACGGTTTGGACTGTATGTATTTGGTGTTTCATTTTGAAAGCCTAAAGCTTAATTGCTTTGTTGGAGAGGAAGTAGATGCTCCTGCTCCTATCTCCTGAGTCTAATACTCTCCCAATTCATGCTGTTTATATGATCTGAAGAAAGGGAGTTTTGCCTCAGGGGGGCAGAGGGTTTGGGCCAAGATTTTTTAATCAGGGAAAAAAACCCTTATGCATTTTTATTCATTCTACTCTTGCCAAAAAAGATTCCCCTGACCTCCTCCTAGGGACTTTGTTTAGTTGTTTGTAACGTTTGGTTTATTAAGGATTAGCTTCAGTAGGAGAAAGCTCAGTTAGATGCTTGGATGAAGCCAAACAGGGTTTAATTCAGAAGCAAATATTTCCTGATAATTTACTTACTAGATTCATTCTTTTAATTTTCCATCTCCAGATTGCCTATGAGCAGATTATAATATTCCCAAATTGTATGTATTATTGGAAGTTATTCATCCATTCCATAAGCAAATATTTCTTGGTCCAGAATTTCCTTCTGAAATTGCCAGGTCTCCTACAGCACCGGGTGGTTTGAGGAGCCACATGGACAGCACTAGGATGTTTGGTGTGTTGGCTACCACAGAAGCTGTGATCATTACAGTCAAGTAGTTGAAATCATGTACTGTGTTGGCGAGTTAGAACCCCACGAGGACACAAACAGATGTGATTCTCTGGGATGCAGCTAAACTCTGCCTGTGCCATACAAATAGCAGCTTTTACAATCTACTCCATTAACTGTGTTTTGCCAACATTCATGTTTCACCAAATTAATTTTTTGCCACATATTCACAATTTCATTTGTAGCCAGTAGTCCTGCAGCACAGATGTGTACTTCGGATGTGGAAGGGCTGCAAGCAAGCTGAGAGCAACTAGTTATTTAAAGAACAAAATATCCCTGCTGTTTGCTCAGCATTGCTTTAAACAGACAGAAAAACAGGCAGCAAAAAGTTCTACTTATAAGAAGCACTAACACTGCCCTCTATGTTCCTTCTCCCTGGGGAAATAGTGGGATCAAGCCACACATGATGGACATTAGTGGGGTCACGCAGGGTGCTGCTGGACGGTGTCAGGGTAATAAGGGGTCATGAGGTGACGATAGAGCATAGAGAACAGATCTTCATTTACATTGCTGTGTGTCCACCCACCAATAAAGCAAATGCTCTTCCTGTGCGCATGCCTCTTCTCAAGACCATTTGGATTTCACCTTGGCCAAGCCAACTGAGTGTAATGAAGTTAAAGGCTGGGTGATTGCAGCTAGCTGAGTGCGTGGTCTGGCGTAGACAGGATTTTATCTGTGGGCATTTTTCTACTGGCTCTCAGCCTGATTTAGTCCCAGAAAGGAGTGAAACGAAAGCTGTCCGGGCCATCTTCTTTGTGGAGGAGCACACTGAGTCCCTCTAAGTTTGTTTTGAGGTTGTTGCCTGCCGATGTGTGCTTTGCAGAACAGGAATGAGTCACATGAGGATCATTCTGTATCCAGTAAGCTACTTCTCCTTTCTGCTCTCTATTCCCAAACAGGAGATCTTGTGACAAAGAAGAAAGGCAGATTCCTGGCAGCCTGGAAGTGCTTTTTCCCTCACTGGCCCCGTGAGAGGAGCTTTAGCATGTTGTTCAAACAGGTTGATACACAGCGAATAAACAGTTGAAGAGAGATGGGCAGTTTCTGTAAATAGCAGTGTGCTGGCCAGAGAGAGGAGAAGAGGGGTGGGAGAGTGGGGGTGTTAGAAAGCAGCCGAAGAACAAGATGTTCACGTAAAAGCTGTTTGTTTCTTCGCAGCGCGCTGAGCCTGATACTACCTTGCCATCAGTCATGGCCTAGAAAATACGGAGGAATCTGTGGGAGTTTCACCTTTTAGCCAGACTTTGCAACAAGCTTTTGTCTCTGCACCAGGAGGCAATTCTTCCAACCCTACACATTCCTCCCGCAGACAGTTCAGATGCTTAGGAGCTATGCCAGTGGGCAAGTGGGTCATCTCCAGGTAGGGTTTAGCAAAGGCAGGTTGTGGTTACAGGGTGTACGAGGATAGTGAATGTGGTTACCCAGCTCTTACACAACATTCTCATCTACAGAGAATCTTTATTAGCACTTAACAGAAGAGGATCAGTATTACTGTCCAAGTGCTAAGTAAGTGTACTGACCATGCTTGTTAAAGGGCCAGTGTGGTGTCAGAGTGCACAAAATAGCTACCCACTCACATGGACTGAACATTGACTATTTAATGCTTGATGTGTGCTTAGGTTTATTCCTGCCTGGATAGTGGAATAAACTGAGCCGTGCTAAGTAGCACAATGGCACTTAAGGAGAGAGGTAAGGGAAGGAGAGCAGTCCCAGGAGAGTTATGTCTGTGCTTCTCCCATGCTGAAGGAGTCTTGTGGAAATGGAGGTAAATTGTATCCTAAATTTTGCATGTTGGCTCTGACATTGAAGTGGATGTGGACGCAATAAATTCATGATGTGAGGAACAACAGAGGAAGGAACTTAACTGTAGTCAGAAAGACAAAAGGGGGAAAAAAAGTAAGGGGAGGAAGGTGTGGAGTGAATGGCAGAGTCCCAGGTACCCGTCTGGAAGATGTTCTGTGAAATATGCAGACATAAAGAAGTGGGATGTGTTTGTCCTTTCCATCCCAAAGGGTCTCCCTGACAGATGGTTTCACTGCCATTTCACCTGCCTCCACAGGTACGACTACATCGAGATCCGAGATGGGGACAGTGAAGCAGCAGACCTGCTGGGCAAGCACTGTGGGAACATAGCACCTCCTACCATTATCTCTTCTGGTCCCTCTCTCTATATCAAGTTCACCTCTGACTACGCACGACAAGGTGCCGGTTTCTCACTGCGCTACGAGATCTACAAGACAGGTGAGAGTCTGAGTCAGTGCCTGTCTCTCAGGCACTGTTTGCCACGATGATCTTGACAAGATGTCTTTGGCCACCTTTTCAGTATGATTTTTAGCATGTTCTCCAGACATAAAGGGCTTTTTTTGTTTGCTTGTTTGTTAGACAAGTCTGTTGCATCACGTTTTTAAGAAGGTGAAGATGTTAGTAGCACATGATGGTGCACTTTTGGATCACAGTGTGGCATCAAAAGCAGGGTTCCTCCTTAAATGGTTTCTTGTATTCAAGGATTTGAAACATAAATCTTTTCTTCTTGGCATGTGTGGCGCTTGTTAGGGCTAAGATGGGATTGTCCCTCTATTAGGAGCTCATGGAGCTCCCCCTCCTGTGGAGTTGTGATTCAGGGCTGATCAATGACGCTGTGTTTTCTCTTCCTGGAAGCGGGGTTTGTGACTGGGGAGCTCTGGTTTTCAAGGGACTGCTGTCAGCAGTGCTGTCACGGGCAGAGGCAGTGCCTTTCCAGGCAGATACAAGAGGAACTATTCATCATACTGTTTAATACTGAATTATTCTTGAGGAAAGGAAAAGCTGCTCAAAGGCCTTTTAATAGTGTTTCTGTCTAAATATTTGCCAGAATTGTGTGTCTGTGAAGAAGGCGGCTTGAGAAAATAAAACCCACTCTGTGTGTGCGGGTGAGAGAGGTGTGCCTGCATGCCGAGGCAACAAGAGTGTGTTTTGCATGGGGATGTGGGAGCCTGCCCTGTGCCTACATCCCTTTGGTGTTGCGTTGGAAGAAAGCACACACAGCTTTCACTGCATTGCATGCAGCACAAATATACCCACCATGCCAGGTGAAGAACCAAAAAGGAGCACAACAGGGCTGCTTCCCCTGCCTCTGCAAAGGGAAGGCAAGGAGCACTGGCACCAGTGCCTGGGGGTGCTGGCCCAGCTGAAGCAGGCAGAGGTGTGCAGACAGCCCTCAACCCACTCACAGGTAGATGTGAGTATGGAGACAGCTGCAAGAGAACAGGAGTGGCACTCCCCAAATTTGTTGTGAAATGGTGAGGACAGGAGGTGTCTGGAGGTTCAGGTGGATGAGGAAAGTGCTATTGCTGGTGGTTGCCTGAGCTGTACAATTGGCCATTGAGCTGTTGTGGTGCTAGCAGCTTACCGCTGGTGTTTGTGAATGATTAGGATGCAGATTAGTCCTGAAAGAGTTTAGTGGCTCATCTGGATATTGGGGTTTGCTGAGGCCAGTTGCTGTAGTGGAGGATGGCAAAGAATGCTTGTGTTGAGATGGGAAGACTCCTGACCCATCTCCCTTGCCTCTCACTGCCTGTACACACAACCCACTGAGTCCAACAGACTGGAGTGGGCTGTGCCTGTCCTCACATCAGGTCCATGCCCCAGGTCGGGGCACAGGGCAATGTGGAATGGTCCAGCTGGCTGAGGTGGCCAGGCCAGGATGAGTGTGGCTGTGGGAAGGGATGGCAGGCAGGAACCCTGTCTGCCTGGGTGGGAGCCAGCAAGGAGCCAAATTCATAAGAAAAAGGAGATTTTATTGCTGCTGGCAGGGAGGGAGAGGAAGAAAGGGCTGATCTGGGAGCCTGCAGATGTTGGATGGGGACTGGGGCTGAGTTTGTGTCCTTCAGCATAGGTCCCTGCAGAGCTGCCGTCAGATCTGAAATGCTTTTGGGGCTCCATTTGATACCATCACCCCCCGCAGGCAAACACCCTCTCTAGAAATAGCCACACTTTCTTCCAGTCACAGCCCACACAATCCAGCCTGGCAAGGCAGGTTGTGACACAGAGATGGGGATGATCCTGGAGCACCCCCAGCACACCTCATCTGCCTGATCCCGGCCCCCTCTTGGGGTGCCCAGGCAGGGCAGTGGGCCAATGCAGTACAAGCAAACCCTGCCTTTGCAGATAGGCAGGAACGGGCAAAGTTTCTGTTTGAACTGTCAGGGTAGACAGCAAAGGTGTCACCACCTTTAAAGGTCATTGGATTGTCATTGTCCACATCGGTAAAGGCAGTGTGGTTGCAGCTTCTTTCTTTCTTAAAGGTGACCTAAAAAGCACAATTCTTTTCAACTAAGCGTTTATTTCCACATCTTGTGCTAAATTTCCCTTATCACAGTGTGAGACAGGAGAGATCTGCATACAAGCAACTGCATACCAGTGTTTGAATCCCCTGATGGGTATCAGTCAGCGGTCTGTGGGCTGAGAAACGAACCACCTGCCCTGGCTGGTCCAGCCTCCCCACTGCTCACTTTGTGAGTCAGTTTGGCAGGGCTGGTCTGAGATCTCCATCCCTGGCCATCAAAGTCTCCTCTCTGGCTGGTCTGTGCTGCCGAAGCCAGCATGACTCCTCTTGATTATCTGCAGCTTCCTTATAAAAAGCTGATCATTGTTTTTGCTGCTATCAGCCAAACTGTAGGCAAAGATGCCAAATGTGGAAGAGCCCCACATGAGGAAACTGTCATTGTGTAATGCAGTGACATAGTTATGTCTCTCTCATGTCTCTAGAGGACAGTTCCTGACTCTAGAGACCGGAGAGAGACTGACTATGCGTGTAGTCTTTGTTTCTTCCCCCTAGCTCAGAGCTTGCGTTATTTTCCCTGTTTATCTGTCTTTCAAGCTGTTTGGAACGAAGTGCACCCTTATTCCTGTTCACAGCGTTATGATGTGATTTGTGTTTGGCCTTATTTTTTGCCTCTGCATTTTACCCCACAGGTTCACACCAGAAAAGCTGGCTGCTTCATTAGGTAGTCAATTAAGAGCCTCTCCTGAGTAGCTCTCCAGCTAGGCAGTGCATAATGCAGTGCTGGGATCCTGCTATTACTGCGGGCTTCTGGCCTGACTCCTGTAGGTTAATGCTGAATTGAATAACAAGCCTCCCATTAGTCCCGGGAAGGCTTGTGCTGCCTGGAAGAGCTGGAGTAGAAGGGTTTGTAGAGGAGGAGGGTGTCCCAGTAAAACTTGAAACAGAAACCTTTGCCAGTGCTAACGCCGGGTTGCAGCAGTGGCCAGCACCCTCTCTAACATCCCCTATAGCCTCTGATAGCTCCGGGCTGCAGATTTCTGTTGCCTATTGTCCTGTCTCCACAGCGAAGGGTTTCAAAGTCACCGTGGTATGAATATGACACAAATTCCCCTTTCCCCGGCCACCCTGAGGCACCTTGGCTGTGTGAGAGGGGGCACCAAGCTGGCCCGGCTGCAGCCGAGGCCAGTGCTGAGGTCAGCAATAAATAAGAGGCGACATTGTCTGCCCTCCTCGCCGTGCAAAGGTCTTCCTTAAGGATAGAAATAACTTGAATTTCTGGTGCGGACAGCTCAGCCTGTGAGAAAGAGGGCTCTGTTCCTCCTCTTGGCAGAGACCCCTCTGCCATGGGCCCTGCCCTTGCTGTGGCCACGTTGTGGGGACATAAGCTGGAGCTGGCCATTGTCCCTTGCGTGGGTCTCAGGGGGCCACAGGCTAACTTTGTGCTTCCCAGGGGGTTCCAGCTAACAGTGGAGACATCGGCACCCTCCCCTGGTCCCCTTCACTGTGTAAATATTTGTGTTCCTCGTATTCTTGAGAGGAAACTGAGGCACAGATATCAATGCTAGAGGGATAGAGGTTGGAGGAGACCAGCCCCTGGGGACAGATTTTCCCAAAAAGTGACAGCCTTGTTACTCCTCTCTGCCCCTTCCCAGGCAGCCTCTTCCCCAAACACGGGCTCGTCCATTCGACCTGGAGCTGATGCCAGGGTGGCTGCCGCAGCAGTGAAGACCACATAGAGCAGCCCCTGCTGGCTGACTGGCCCCTCCATGGGGTCTGGGGCACCAGACATGGGTCTCCTGGAAGGTCCATGTGTAGGGGCTCGGCACACAGGGGATAGGGCCAGGAGGGGAAGCCCAGCCCAGCTTGGTGTGGCCTCACTTCACCATGAGAGCCACCACCACCAGCATGGGGGACACGGCAGGGTGCTCGCCTGCCAAATCACCACTGTGGCTTTGAGTGGGATCACTCTCCTAGTCCTATTTTTGGAGTAATTGATGGGGGATCAGCAGTGGTGTACAGGTTACATTGGGAGAGCTGTCTGAGGGGTTTAGAACCATGCTGTCCACTCCAGTGAACAAATGGACCTTTTCTCTCCACCTGTGGAAGGCTTTGAAAATCACCCTCTTGGTCCTTCCAGGAATTCACGCAGCTCCTGGGTTACAGAGCATTTCCAGAAGTGAATATGTAACCTCTGTGAGCTCAAAATGGGGTTTCCACAGTGTCAAGCTGTTGGCATTAAGCTGCATTGTTGCTAAGACTGTGGGTATTTTGCTGCCACTACAGGCTCTGAGGACTGCTCCAGAAACTTCACCTCCTCCAATGGCACTATCGAGTCTCCAGGTTTCCCTGACAAGTATCCACACAACCTGGACTGCGTCTTCACCATCATAGCCAAGCCAAAGGCAGAAATCCTCCTCCACTTTCTGCTCTTTGACCTTGAGCATGACCCATTGCAGGCAGGAGAAGGAGACTGCAAGTACGACTGGCTGGACATCTGGGATGGCATCCCTCAGGGTAAGCCATGGGGTACTGTGTTGCTGTCCTCTGCCTCTCCTGGTGTTTCACAAAGCTCCAAAGCTGTGCAGTCTGTGTCTGAACAACAAAGGTGCCTAACCTCAAACACGGCTGCAGCATGCAGCCTGCTCTTGGGGTGCTCCATGGCCAGCTGTGGGGATGGTGTGCTTGCAGAAGGCTGCATACATTAAACCCCAGACTGCTGCTTTATTGTAACCACTGCCCTGAAAAACCTTATGTGCAGTCCACAATACAACCAGTCATCCCTCAGGGAAAGGCAGTGGGTTCATGCAGTGCTGGTAGGACCTCCCTACCCTGTTCCAACACTGAGAAACAGAGCAGTTTGGAGCATTTCCCAGCAATTGCAGAGCAACGCCTGCTGCAGTGGATATTTCTGCACAACATACTGCATGGCACCAGGCCAGCGGATATAAAAAATAGCCCATCCCCAAAGCCTTTCTTTTATCCCATCAGTCCTGCCGAGGCATCCCTGCTGAGTGATGCCAATCTGCCTGTGACCCAGCAGGCTGGTGGAAAACCTTCACTGCTCTTTCTTTTGCAGTTGGCCCCTTGATAGGCAGGTACTGCGGCACTAAGATGCCATCGGACATCCGCTCCACCACCGGCGTCCTCTCGCTTACCTTCCACACGGATCTGGCAGTGGCTAAAGATGGTTTCTCTGCTCAGTACTACTTAATCCAGCAGGAAGTCCCAGAAAGTAAGTTGGAAATGTGTGGTAATGACTTAGTTGTGCGACCTGTTTTTCCCAAGTCTGTCGTTCAGTTGGCGCAGGCAGGAGTGTGTCATGGGTGTGATCCCCCACCAGCAATGCAGACATCAGTTGCACTACGTGTGTTCTCTGTTTCTCACAGAAGTGACATTTCAGTAAGAATCACACTTTCTGACCTTTCGTTGACTTTTTGCTTGCTCATGAAGTCTCCTCAATACCTTTGGGATAGAATCCTTCATGTCTGTGCTCACCCCAAAGGGTTTAGGGGAAGACTTCAGCCCAGTGGGTGCAGCAGATTCATTAAAGCATGGGGGAAAACACTCTCTCCCTCTCTCTGGTTTTCCAAAAATTCACAGCCCCAAACTACAGATTTGAATTTCGTGGCTGTCTAATTAAAAAAGGCCTAAAGCTCTGAGAATTTCAAACCAGAATTTGTTTTAGATCCCTTATTAAGCAAGGTAAATTGATGTGGAGTGAGGAAGTAAGTTGTGTGTTTTGAGAATGAAGAGCTTTTTAATTCTTTGTGATAAAGCTTGAAGGCAAGGGAAGATTCAGTTTGTTTTCCCATGGTAATTTTATATCAGAGCTACAGTTTTCGACCTCTGTTCGCAGTGAACCTGTGATAAACAGAAGAAGCCTTCAGGACACCCCTGAGTCTCAGAGAAAGAGAGGGAGTCCCTGACCTGACACTGAAAGCCCATGACGGACAGCAGGGTAGAGTAGGGGGTGTGCAGCACTAGGGCAGCTGGGTTACATGCTCTTGCTCTGTGGTTGAGTTAGGGATGTTCTACTGAGGCTGTGAATATTACAGACAAGCATGAACTCTTCACTATTACCTGTTTCCACACTCAGTTGATCTGTTCTTTAGTCCTCTTTCTATTTCATTCTTCAAAATGATTGGGAAATAAAATGTTAATGACACACAAAGCTTGAGAAATCAAGCACAAGAGCTGTAAAAGGGCTAGGCCTGTTTAGATTTATGCTGATGTAAATTGAAACTTTAATAATATCACTGAGATCTTAACATGGCCCATCGTTTCCACCAGGGTTTGACTTGGCCACATTAAAAACACAGGCAGTTTGGTAAAGCCCCATTGGTTTACAGCAGCAGCTTGCTTTGGCCAATGCAGTATTTCCTATCAGTGTTTTCTTTGCTATTGTTTTTACAGGCTAGCTGCCATAAAATATATGAGATATGCAGTAAGATTAAGCTAATTGTGACTTCTAAAGCGTTAGAAGTGAGGAAACCCAAATGAAGCTTATCAGGGTCTTTCATATTCTTGGCTGGTTAATTCCTATGGGCCTGATACCACATATAGTGCATGCACATACACACACACACATGCATCCGTACTCACACACACACAAAATCTTTAGACGTGCCCATTTGAGGTCAGCAGCACAGCAGTAAACATCCTCCTGCTGTGCCTGCCCATACTCCTTGTCTTGGCAGTGCTTAGATTTCACCTCCAGCCTTCAAGAAGATGGGGAATTTTGTGGCAAGGGGACTTGGAACATCTTGGTGGAGATGAAGGGACAGAATTGTGCTGAGACTGTGCAAAGGTGAAGGAGATGGATAGAGAAAGGGAGAAAGATCTGGACCGCATTAGTTTTCAAAAAGCCATACAAACATAAAGCTGCCTCATCTTTTATTTTCCAGTGCCATCTGTGCACACACAACCCGCAGGATGGTACAGAGCTGTTGATCTTTCCAGGCAGGCAGCTTTGTTCAGGGTTAGCTGGGGAGGATAGCTCAGGGCTGCCTACCACTTGGGAGTGAAGTACTGAGACTGTAGGCTGATCTGCGTGCATGTGTCTGTCTGTCTGTGTCCACTCCAGACTTCCAGTGCAATGTGCCGCTGGGGATGGAGTCTGGCAGGATCTCCAACATGCAGATCAGTGCCTCCTCCACCTACTCAGATGGGAGATGGACCCCTCAACAGAGCCGGCTCAACAGCGATGACAACGGCTGGACCCCCAATGTAGACAGCAACAAAGAGTACCTCCAGGTGCACACACTTTCCAGCTCCCTCATCTCTTCCCCCACCTAATGGAGTGTCACGCTGTTAAACTGACCCTTGACCATACAGCATGTTGAATTTTTTATTGCCTGTGTGGCTCATGGGGAGCGAGCAGCAGGGGAGCTGCAGTGCCTCTCTGAAATGTGGCAGGCTGGCTCTCCCATTAGCCTGCCTGCACAAGGGCTGACTTGACCTGCTGTCCCTCTCCCAATCCCTCTTTCCTGCCCAAAACCTTGATGGACTTTCCAGCATACTGACAGAGACTGAGGATCCTCTGCCACTTACAAGGGCCACTGACTCTGCCACTGGCCTGAGGACCAAAGTGTCCAGGCGGCACGTAGGAAAACAACTAGAGTAATATTTATCTCATCAGTGACACAGGGAGCATGAGCAGACTAAAGTCATATGGGGCTGACAGAGCAAAGGCTTTCCCTGGGAGCTGGCTAGAGCCACAGTCTGTCCACACAGCGCTTCTGGCTATGTCACATTGCCATGAGACCCTGCTTGCTAAAGGGCACTGGGAATGGGAAGTGGTGAATGTCATTGCCCGTAGCAGACATCTCATTCTTCATTCATGGCAGTGCTACCAAGCCAGCTCTGCTGACCTTTCTCAACTTGTAAAAAAATTCTATCAAAACCAAAACCAAAGCAACAACAAAAAAATCAAGGGAAAACCAAGAACTACAGCACTTGCTAATTGGACATCATGCTTTTATTTTACACGGAAAAAGTCAGCCTCTGTTCTGTTTTAATGGACGTGAGCTTCTGTGCAGATCCTGTTGCTTGGTCTGAGGCAGGAAGAAGGCTTTGTGATGGTCCTATGTGGACGGACATCAAGATCCTTTGTTACTCTTGTCCCATGGTCCTATCTGCAAGCTAATCCCCCAGGGTTTGTGCCCATTGAAATGTGTGTCCACAGATAGAGTGAGGCAGACTGAACTCAGGCCTTTTTCCAGGAATGGAGGGAGGAACTAACTAGCCAGCCTGGGCTCTCAGGTGGTCACCACTCTCTCTTGTCCTTTTTCCCCCTGGAAAGGTGGACCTTCACTTCCTGACTGTGCTCACAGCCATTGCTACACAGGGTGCCATCTCTAGAGAAACCCAGAATGGCTACTATGTCCGTACCTACAAGCTGGAGGTCAGCACCAACGGGGAGGACTGGATGATGTACCGACATGGGAAAAACCACAAGGTAAACGCCTTCTTGTCTCTTTTGCATGCACCTTGGTGAGTCTTGCAGCCAACAGGAGGGAGGAGAACAGAGATTTTTACAGGCCCAGAAAGTTTAATCTGTGAGGGACCTTTTTTCTGATGAGTGCTAAAAGACTGATGATGCTCTGAGCAGAAATAGTCCTTTCTTCTCTGCACAGCAATGAGGAAACACTATTCCTTGGAAAACCTGGCTGCTGTTGCATCTTTCGTGGTGGCGAGAGTATGTTCTTTGACTGCAAATGAAGGAGAAAATGCTTTCACAGCCTGTGTTTTGCCATACAAGATTCATTGAGCTTTTATGGCTGTAGCCCTGTCTGCATGCTGGGTTAACAATCGCAAAACCACATGAAACTGTAGTTCAGGAGTTATTGAGGCCTGGAAATGAAAGGGCACAAATCCTAAGAGGCGATCACACCATCCCAGAGAACAAAATGAACAATAAATAATGAGGAGCAATTCAGGCTGCCAGAGCTGTGGGATCTGCACTAGCAGTCATGATCAGCAAGGGTGCATTGAGGCCTGGGAGCTGCTGCATGCTCTCACTGTGTTTCTAGGAGGCACACAGAGATGGGAGCAATGGGGAGGGAGGGTAAATATGGGTGTTCAGATGTTCCAAGCCTTGCAAGTGCTGCTGTGTGGCCAGGCAAGGCAAACTTGCGGTGGTCTGCATGGGAGCTTTGGCATGTGGGGAATGGGGTTAAGGCAGCTGTGGTGCCAGGCTGGTCCTGCTCTGTCACTTGCCTTGGTCGTGTGGCTGTCCACTGGTTAAGGGCACCTTGGGAAAGCCCTTCCCTGTGTACCAGCACTGCTGCCGTGGCTCAAGTCCTCCCCATTGATGAGCCACAATCTGTCTATGTGAACTCAGTGGCTTCGGTCCCACTCACTTCCCCCTACACGCACATCCCAGCAATTTCTGATAGCTTAGCACTTTTGTTAAATTAGCTGTCCCCTCCATTTGCTGGCACAGGCACTGCTGGCATGAAATGCAGTAGCCTGCCTTGTCCAGGATTCATCCAGACATTTCCTTCCCTTCCGGGCTGTGTGATTTCCTCTTCCCCTCAAGTGTGTCTCACAGTTCAAATTCACTCTGTTTCCCAGAATGAGTCCTCTCTGTGCAGAGGCCCGTAGCAGGGTCTCATACCTCCAACATTTGGAGTATTTGAGCTCCTTGCGCGCCAGCGAGGTGGTGTTAGTCCTATTTTTTCACAAGGCAGTCTAGAATCTCATAGGAGAGTGAGCAGTGGGGCTCTCCTGAACCTCAGGCGGGCTGGCTCCAGTGCTGCAGCTCATGGCAGAGCTCACGTATAACCTAACAGGGTGGCTGTGCACTGCTGTGGAGGCTCTGTGCTCTCTCAGGACCCACTGGCTGCGGAAGACCTTTCGTGACATCACTCCAGCAAGAGCCTAACGCATGTCAACCCAAACCAGCCCCACAGCCACGTTAATTGCCTCCATTTCAGGATTTGGCCCTGGAGTCCTATCAGCTTTTTTCTGCTGTTTTCTCCCTTCATAAAAGGGAGGAAAAATCAAACCTCTCCTTTTTTACTCCTTTATTCCAGTCTAGCTCTGTTCCCATGTTCTGGCCTCAATTTAGCAGACACTTCCCAAGCCTGGAGGATAAGTAATTGGTTTTTGGTGGCTCGCCTTGCGTCCAGGTAACTGCTTTCCCTCCCCACTGAACAACTGGCCACAAGCCCACTGAGCCATAGCGAGGCCAGGGCAAAACCCCTTGCTTACAGGCTTGGTTCCTGGGGGCTCTGGCCCCACATTCCCCACCCAAGTTAATCCCTGCCATTCCTGTGTTAGGAAAGCTCCCAGATGTCTGTACTCAAGGTGCAGATTCCTCCCTGCGTCAGTGAGGCACTCCACACAGTTCAGGCTGCAACGGTGGAGTGAGCCATGCCAAATAGATTTGTCAAGTCTGCCGCAGCTTGATTTGGTGCCATGAGGAGTAGGGAGGGAGGGAAGGGGGTGGACAGACAGGGACTCTCTATTCCTCTATATACGTGCAGATATATATGTATATATATACACACACATACATATATATACACACACATGCATATATATATATGCACATGCACACATAGGCATATGGGGTGTATCAAACACCGCTCTGAATTTCTGCTAGCTGTGTAGGCCAAAAGCAAAGCTCTGCCATGTTATAGGTAGGTCAGCTAACATTTACATCTTCATCAGGGAACTAAAGAAAGAGAAAACCAGTGAGTGCAGGAGGAGTGGGAAGGGGATGATACTCTGCAGAGGATGGGGAGCTCTGACCTCCTCTCTTTCGCCCCCCTGCTTCCCCTCCCTCCAGTGTTTCTCAGGAGACTGGAGCCAGGCTTTTTCCCTGTGGAACGTGATGGCTCACCTTTGAGGCCCCAGCTGCTGGCACTCACAGCACGGGAAGCAGGAAAGGCAGGATGAAGCAGAGGAAAAGAAGATTAATGCGAGCCTGCAGCAGACAGGGCTGGCTGGGCTGTTAGCATGCCATGTTACCATGCTGCTGCGTTTCTGGGGTGAGAGGCAGTGGGAAGGCAGGAGCCCCACACTCACACCTTCCCCTTCCTGCCCCATCCCTGAGGAGCTTTCCCCCTGCCTGGCAGCCCACTCCCCACAAAGCCAAGCCCTGCACAGCCCAGACATCCCTCTGTTGAGGGGGTGATGCTCTGTCCTTGCCCAGGCATGGGACCAGGAGGACTGGCTAACTCTGTGACCTGGCCAGAGGTGCAGAGCTGTCTGCCTGTGTGTCCCTGAGAGGAGATGGGGAGGAGAGCAGCTACCACATGTTGCCTCATGCTCACCCCTTACTATCCAATAGCACATCCTTATGGGACAGGGCCAAACAACTCCTGCCCCAGAAAGGCTGGTCTGGCTCTTGCCCTCCCTGCTGCATCCCCCACTGTGTCATCCAGGGTTGATGGCCCCAGAGGTTATCTTCTGGGTGCAGACACTGGTGTGTGTGTGCCGAGATCTTATCTAGGGGGTTGCAAATGTCTTTAAAAAACAACCACTCATTCCTGAACCCAAGGAAGGAAAAGAGCACCTGGCAGGATCTGACCTTTTAGTTTTGGCCACTTTCTTCACCTGACAGGATCTGACCTTTTGTTTTTGGCTATTTTCTTCAGACAGATTCAACTATGAGGATTTTATCGGAAAACAGAGTGCTCATCAATTCTGATCCACTTCCTTCCTTGTAGGGTCTTGGGTTCCAGCTCCTTTGTTATTTGAGCCACTCCATCTTAGTAACTGTGGAGATCATCTCCCGGGGATCATCTAGTGTGGTGAGGGACCGGATGGGTTTCAGGATATGTGTTGGGTTGGGACTGTGATGGGTGCTCTTGCTGCCTCCATTACTCTGCATGTGAAATGGGAGGATGCAACTGAAACATTTGTTTTGAGAACCCGCAGAAGTTAGTGGATGAGAAATGGCCTCAAGTTCCAGCTGATGCACATTTTCCATTTCCTACTCATTTTGATGGCTTTGTGCTTGTTACCGGCTAACCTTCCTGGGTGGTATTCCAGGTGGATGCAAGAAGGCAGGTTGAATTGCAGCAAAGAACTGAATATCTCAGCTGTGCATGGAGTTGGGGATGTCAGAGGTGTTTAGTGCTGGCAGGGAATATTGAGGATGATTCTTTGAACACCCTCATGCTTTCCCTTAGGACAGTTCCTCTGTCCTTTCAGTTCTTAATGAGGTTGCTTGTGTTCATCCACCTGGGGAGGGAGAGAGAAGCTTTGTCTTGTTTATCTGAAAAACTCAGGAAAAGCTTGCGTGGTCAGCCAGAAGGCCACAAGGTCTTCTGCACAGAGACATCATAGCGCAAAAGCTTTACCCAGAAGCATTCCCAGGTCCCAGCCTGCTTCTGCTGCTTTTGCAGGCAAGACAAAGATGTCAGGCTTTGGGAAAGGCAGCTCTGCACATTCACCCTTGGTGCAGTACCAGGGGAGAATTACAGCCCTGGCTCTCCTAGTGAGGCTGCAGCTTTGTACTTCTGGGCCTGCTATCTCCTTTGCAGGCTAAGAGAGTGCCACTCCTCCTGTCCCTGGTGACTCCCAGATGTGAGTGGAGCCTCTCAAAGACGCAGGACTGGCAAGCCCAGCCCAGCATGCTGTGCTGTGCCCAGACGGCTGTGCTTCATTGTGTGTTGCCAAGTATCATTTTTCTTTTAGCTCCTTGTTCCTGGATTTAATAAATCCAGAACTATCCACCCTCCACTCAAGCCAAAATCCTCCCACCATCAAACATGCCCCATTTTATGCCTTGCCTATCTGACAAGGAAAATAATCTCCCCTACTTTTCTCCTTCATGCTTCTCTTTCTAAATCCTGAAGCCCTAATCCTGTTAGCATGCTCTGTTCCAGGGCTCTGTCTCCACAGGAGTAACATAATCCTGCAATAAATCTAGTAGGTCCAGAGAGACACATACATACGGATGAAGGCAGGGCTGCTGCCATCCTTGGCCTTCTCCTCTACCTCCCCCAGCCACTTTCTTTAGCTCCCCAAGAAATTACATAGTGGCCAAGCAGCACAATAAATAAAGCTGGAGAGCAGTTACCTGCTGCCCCCCCGCCCCGACTCGCTGCCTCTTTGACTTCACAGTGCTTTTTGTCTCCCTGTCCTTCACTCCCTTCACTCCAAACTGCTGTTGGCACAACTCCCATACCCATTGGAACTAGTGCAGCCTCGGAAATCCCCCGGTCACCCCACAGCAGTTCCAATGTGTCAGAAATACAACTTGTAAGTGTCGGTGTAGAGACGGCATGTGTGCGCACATGGAAAAATTGCCCAATCCTCCTCTAGCCTAGACATCATCTCCCACCACTTGCTTTCTGCAGCAAATTAATTAAGCGGGTCAGCTTTCATTGATTATCAATTTAATTTTACATGTAGACTCTGCCGTCTGGACTAAAACAGAAGTAAACATAAAGTATATGGGGAGGGGATGGGCAGCTTTTTGATGCAGCAGTAAAAATTAGTTCCTTGACTGCTTCTTGGAAGGTGCTTTTAATTTGTTAATGGTTTTCCCATTCATCTTCTAGCTCTGTCACCTTTCAGCGCGTGTGCATGCGCATGTGTGCTCTCTGCTGAGTGTCTGTCTGTCTGTCTATCTATCTATCTATCTATCTTATCTATCTCCCTAAATCACAGCCAGATTTTTTTTTCTTCCTGCTGGTGTAAATTACTGTGACTTCTTATACTTCGATGGTGATATGTTGATTTACACCATTCGAATACTTGGCTCAAAATATGTGCTGAGTGGGATGGGAAGCAGATAGGATGGGAGGAATAGCAATGTTCTATTTTGGTAAGGGGGAAGAAATCTTTGCTTTCTTGGCTCTCCCAATTTCACACATTTTCCTGCTAGTTCTTCCCATGCTGTGAGTGCTAATTTGAGGCAGGATATAGAGCCTGTTCAAGTCAATGGGACTCTCTCCACAGTGTGCTTGGGCTCTGGGGTCGGTATTTCCAGTGCTGAGAAACCATACACTCAGCAGCATCAGGACCTGTGGGCTCACAATGCATTTTCACTTGGGAAGGAGGCTGAAAGGCCAGGCACACGGGAGGACCCCACCTCTCTAACAAACAGCACTAAGCACCTGCCTCCTGAAAATGGCCTTTTTCTGTAATGCTGAATAGGGTGTCAAGCAGTGACTTGTTATGGTCAGTTGGGACTTCTCAGAAACAAGGTTCACTGTGGCAGATCCCGCCAATGCAGCTTATCCTAGAGCTGGAAGTCAGGTGCCATTTCTGCCCTCATAACTGGCAGTCTGGAGTGTCAAGGCCCCAGTTCAATGTTATGTAGCTTGTTGAGTGTGATTTAATCTGGGGAAATTACTGGTCCCCAAATCTAAAGCAGAATTGAGGTTGCTCTCCCTGGAAGCAGGTGGTTGGGACTAAGGTCGTGTAAGAGATGCTTTCAGCAATGCATGTGGTAGTGATAAAGTTTTTGGGCTCAGTCCTGCTTCTGCTTTCTGTCAAGCTTGACTTTGCAGAAGTCAGCAACAAATTACACTGGTGTAAACTTGGATTCTGGCCCCTGATGCTCATATGTGCAAAGTGAGCTATAAAAGAACAAAACTGGAAGTATGTTAAACCAAAAAGAACAGCAGACCTCGTCAGTGACTGTTAAAGATGCTGGTCCATATGCAACCTTTGGCTCATGGAGTCTTCAAACTGCTGATTGTGGGAAGCAAAGACAGGTTGCCAGGAGAAGTCTCCCTTGGGGCTTGCTAACCCCAGGCATCTGCTGGGTTCACCATCAGGAGCCACCCCTGGGACAGAGGGACCTTTGGGCTGACCTGAAGGGCTGCTCCTTGTGCTAAAATAGTTGCACTGGCTCAGATAAACATTTCCTGTCCTCCGGTGTTAGGTTCAGAGGTAAGGTGTTGTGTGTCAGCTTCTGTGTTGACATAAAGCTGGAGGCTTTGCTGTGGTGTGGAAATACATCCTTTCAGCCTCTCTGTGCGTGTGTGTGTTCCCATAGGTTTACAAGACACACACACATGCGTACATGCCTGGAGAGTGTTCCACAGTAACTACTCTTCTTATAGCCCTCCTGCTGGAAAAAAGGGTATTTGGTGTCTGCTGAGCAAGGAAAAGGATGGGAAGTGGGGTCAGACAGGGTAAAATAGGATATTAAAAACACATAAACCATGCTGTGTTGCTAAACGGTAGCAGCATGATATATATTCTCCAGATTAGCATTTCCGCTCAAGTTCATGTCAACCCCAAATCCCAGTTACCAGCCACATTTGCAACCAAGGCCCTCTGTGGGGTTCTGCTCCCTG